CCTCTGCCCCCCACAGTGGTCCTTCGGGGTGACGATGTGGGAGATTGCCACACGGGGCCAAACCCCGTATCCCGGAGTGGAGAACAGCGAGATTTATGACTACCTGTGTCAGGGAAACCGGCTGAAGCAGCCTGTGGGCTGTCTGGATGGACTGTGAGGATCCTCAGGACCCCACCCCGCCCCCTGCCCCATCCCAGATTTCACTCCAAAACCCTGAGCACCCCCACATGGCCTCAAACCTCTAAAACCTGCACAGAACCCCTCAGACTGTTGAGGAAGCCATGCTGAGACCCCCACCCCCCAAATTCTAATTCACCCCAGATTCCTGAGCTCCTGCACTTCCCCCAATGCTCTTCAACACCCAGGACCCTCTGCCAGCCCTCCAGTTTGCCATCTTAAGCTTCTCCAAACTCACGGGTCTCTTCTGAGATATCCTCAGGATCCTTTAGGACACAGCTTATCAAATTTTGCTGTCTCACAGCACACAGAGGAGAGCAGAACGTTCATCCAGCCCTTTGAGGGCAAAGTCTGCTCTAGCAAACCCTCACTAGAACACCACCCGATACCCAGAGAGCCTCCCCAAGACCCTTTCCAGCTCCCGAGTGTCCCAGGATCCCCCTTCGGAAACTCTTGAGAATTCCCAGATCCCAATGGAAGCCCCCAAACTGCTCATGGTTCCTTCCAGTTCCATGAAATGCCCCCAAACTCCCAGAATGCTCCCCTTCTGAGCTCCTGCTCAGTCTCCCACCCCTCACTTTGTTGCCCTAGGTATGCCCTGATGTCCCGGTGCTGGGAGCTAAACCCCCGTGACCGGCCAAGTTTCTCAGAGCTTCGGGAAGATCTGGAGAACACGCTGAAGGCCCTGCCCCCTGCCCAGGAGCCTGACGAAATCCTCTATGTCAACATGGATGAAGGTGGGGGTCATCCTGAACCACTTGGAGCTGCTGGAGGAGCTGACCCCCCAACCCAGCCTGACCCTAAGGATTCCTGCAGTTGCCTCACCGCAGCTGAGGTCCATCCTGCTGGACGCTATGTCCTCTGCCCTTCCACAGCCCCTGGCCCCACCCTGCCTGCCGACAGGAGCTCCCCAGCTCCCCCAGGGCAGGAGGATGGAGCCTGAGACAACACTTCACCTGGGACTCCCTCTCAGGACCCAAGCTAGGCACTGCCACTGGGGGAGCCTCCCCCCCAACTATTTCCCCACTCCAGGCCTCACCCCCAACTACAGCCTTCTCTTCCTACCTATTCTGCTTCCATCCCAGACAGATCCTCTCTCTTCTCCATGCCTCAGTGTCCCCGGGTGTAAAAGGAAGGGGTTGGGCTGCAATCCCTAGGGGTCCTCCCAGGTCTAGCATTCCCAGATTCTGGATTCTAAGGTTGAAAGAGTCTAGATGCAAAGGTTTGAGGTTTCAAAGATGCTATTAGTCTTCAGCTCTAAGGACCTAAAATCCCAAAGTCTCTAATTCTAAAGTGCTAAGGTTCCAGACATGGAAGTTGCAAGACCTATATTCTAAGGCTCTGAGAGTCCGTGGCTCGAGATTTTTCTGGTTCTAGAATTCTTGATACAGCCCGCAAGATTTTAGGTTCTGAAGCTCTAAGATTCTAGTTCTAGGATCTAAGGCTCTATGATTCTAGATTTTGTTATTCTAGGGTCCTGAGTCCTTAGAGTATAAGATTCTAGATTCTACAATTCTAGACACGGAGGTTTTAAGGCCTAATGTTCTAAAATTTGAAGTTGTAAACCTCTTAGACTGTAAATCCTTGGGCTATAAGACTCTACATCATAAGGCTTCAAGATTTTATCTTCTCAAGTTCTAAGATTCTAATAATGGTTAATTATAAGTTCTAAGGCTTTATGATCCTTGAAACTCTTATTATGAGATTCTGGATCCTAAAGAGCTAAGATTCTAGAATCTGCAATTGAAAAGCTCTAAGAGTCTAAAGATGGAGGTTCGAAGGTCTAATGTTCTAAGATGGGATGTTCTAAGACTTAGTCTAAGAACCTAGATTCTTATGTCTAAGATTCTAGACCATATGCTTCAAGATTCTAGATTATTAAACTCTAAGATTCTACTGTTGTTCTGTTCTGTGTTCCAAGACACTCTAGACTATTGGTCCAAGATTCTGGATCCTTGGCATCTAAGGCATAAGACTACAGTTAGTTGTAGATACCAAAGTTCTAATCATTTCTAATGTTGGACACGTTTAGGTTCTATGCTGCATTCCACCTTTCTAGGGTTTTAATTAAGGGTCCAAGAATCCACAGTTCTAAGTCTTACGATCCTAGGCACTGTAGTTCTATGATTCAAACGTTGTCAGATTCTAAAGGTCTACAGGTCTAGAATTCCAAGGTATGATTCCAAGGTTCTAATAGTATTCTGTGTGACTCTCCCCTTCTGAGCCACCTCTGCTTCCTCCTCCCCTCATGTGGGGGCATGCCTCCCCTCAAGCCTGTGCAGTAATGCACTGGGGATGCCTCCTTTCTCCAGGAGACAATTTCCCTCCTTTTGGTCCATGCTGCCCCCCTGAGCCAATCCCTCAAGCCCCCCTGTACAGAGGTGTGAACTCTGGCACCTCTAGAGGGGCTCAGATCACATAAAACTTTATAACCACACTTCTGTCTCCTCTTGTTTCCACTCAGCTGTCATGGGTGGCCCCTCTCCCTGGCAGCTCCATTTCCCCATCAGTAAAAAGAAGGGTTTGGTGGGGTCTAGGAGTTCTCCCTTTACAAAGAGGGTAGAAATGAGCATACCTGTAGACAACGTAGACAAAAAGACACGAAACAAAAAAACACAGACTCTCTGAGATCCCTAGTGAGGAAGAGGCACTTAGATACTCAGTGTCAGAGACACTCTCCCCCCCCACCCCAAAGTAACAGACCCATTAGGACATACTCAGGCACTTTGCCACAAATAAGAGAGACACTGAAATTCAGACACATATAGTAACAGACGCGAAAAATTACATAGATACAAACATATTTACAAACATCTGAGAGGCAGATATTCACCAGGAATAGGAAGAAACTAGAGTAACACAGATTACGAAGGGTAAACACAGAGAGACACACAGAGTACAAGTACTCACAGACTCAAATGTTCAGATTCACATAGAAACACAGGCACAGAACACCTCCAGTCGTCACGGGCCCACAAAGGGATTCCTGCCAAGACAAACCACAGTGCTTTGCACGCCATCGAGGGCCCGCGTGTCTGGGTGTATCCGGCAGCACATGGAGAAACCCTTGGCAGCGCCCGGACGCCCCCCGGTGGCGCTCCTGAAAACCGAGGACAGTTCAATCCGGGCCACAAACTTTTTTAGAACAAATCCTTGTGGGAAGCTGGGAGGAGAGAGGAAGTCGGACGTGGGCGAGGGGCGGGATGTCTGGACTGGAACCTCCGGGCCCACGTGAGTGTCTGCCCCGTTTCTGAGTGGGTGCTGTGTGTCGAGGCGGCCGTGTCAGCGTGTAGCGTAACTGTCCTTTGTCTTTCTCATTTGATGCCGCCTGTCTGTGCGGACCTGAGTGGCCACATCGACACTGCAGTTTGGTCTATTTGTCCCCTTCATTGATGCATCTGATCTGACTCACGGCCATTTGTTTATCTGTGTCGTGTGTGTGTTTGTCTAAGTAGTGTGCGGTTTTTGTGGGCTTACGGTATGGCTCAGTGGGCAGCGGGCGTTTGCATTGTGTATCCCGACTGTGTGTGTATCTTTGACAGAAGTTTTGTGTCTTTTGAGTTAAGAGGCGACAGGTGGTGCACTGGTAGACATTGCGAAACTCTGTGGCGTTTGCATTTGTAGCGTGAGGCTGAACTACGAACCTTGTGTGCTTTAACTTTAACGTCTGTACTGGCGTCAGTACAGACGCCAAACTGCCAGAACTACTGAACAGCGGTTTAGAGAATTTGGGGTAGAGACCCGCGAACTTCTGGAGGTCTTCCCGGAGGGGAAGGCTCTATGGTCGCGTGCAGAGCGCCCATTCCACGTAAGATACCAACCATAGAGAAAGACGGCGGCAAAGCTAGATCGTGGAAAGAGGCGCCCCTTGAGATGAACTATCAAAGGGAAGAGGGTGCGATTTCCTTCACAACTTTTCTCCCGTTGTCAGTTTAGCCTCTATATTCAAACCTAAGTCAAAAGACTCCTTTTCATAAAGGCAACTGAGTTTCTTCCAGTTTAAGGATAATTTATCTACTTTATCTCGACGGCCTCCCTCCACAGCGACGTTTGTGAGGCAGGCCGCTGAAGAACGGCCAATCTGGTTAGCTTTTCCTAAAGCGATCCCACTGTACGAGCTTTAGTGAGATAAAACAATAATTGCGATTGGTGGGCCGATTGTTTTGAAACCGCCCTAACGGCAAGGGGCGGATCCTTCCCGAATTCATCTTTCCGGTTTCTTAAAGGCAACAGTGAAAGGAGGCGGGGGGAGTTGGTCGGCCGACCCTCCATTTGATTGGTTCTAGTGGTTTTACCGCTTGGACTCCTCTAGGGGCGGGAGATCTAGACCAATCAGGGTATGTGTTACAGGAGACCCCAGTTTGATGAAAGGACCGCGCAGGAAAGGCCGAGAGTGTTTTGGAGGGGCGGGACGGATTTCATTCTGAGATCCCATCGCTGATTGGACCAAGTCTTTACTCCTTTTTCTTCATTTGACCCTACGGGAGCGGGCGCGCGGGCGCTACCCAATCACCGCGTGCTCCGCCTCCCGCCTTTTCCCGCCCTCCGCCCCGGCGGCGGCGGCTACGTAGGCCAACGCTTCCTCCCTGGCTGCTCCTGAGCCCTCTCATTGCCGTTCTTTTGAAAGCTGCGCTCTGATTGGCTGAGTCTCCCGGCCCGCGCCCGTTGCCTTCACGCGATGGCCAATTGGCACCCGTGTTGCATCGCATGGGGCCACGGAGGAGGGGGAGGGGGCGGCGGCGGCCATTTTGAGCCGCCGCCGCCATTGGAGCAGGCCCCCCCCCTTCCCCCTTCGCCTCCTGACAGGAAAGGTTTAAGGGGGACAGAGCCCTGGGAGGCCGGGCCGGGCTCGGGGGCCGCCCCGGGGGCCCGGGCCATGGATGTGCGCCGTTTGAAGGTGAACGAACTTCGGGAGGAGCTGCAGCGCCGCGGCCTGGACACTCGCGGCCTCAAGGCCGAGCTTGCTGAGAGGCTGCAGGCGGCGCTGGAGGCCGAGGAGCCCGACGACGAGCGGGAGCTCGAGGCCGACGACGAACCGGGGCGACCCGGGCACAACAACGAGGAGGTCGAGACCGAGGGGGGCTCCGAGCTGGAGGGGACCGCGCAGCCACCGCCGTCCGGGCTGCAGCCGCACCCGGAGCCTGGCGGCTACTCGGGGCCGGACGGACATTGTGAGAGTGCGCGGGGCGGGGGTCGGGGAGCCCGGAGTCCGGGCCGAGGAAGGGCTGTGGGACGCGGAGCCCGGCGCCTGAGGTCGGGGAGATGGCCTGAGGATTGGGGGATCCCGCTACCCGCCGCTGAAAAGGATCTAGGGCCGAGGGCCTCGGGACGACCGGAGGGTGGACCCTGGCATTCGGGGCAGGGGAGATAATGGAGTGGGGGCACTGGGTTTCGGAGATGAGGAAGGTCCGGGGGCTGTAGAGGATTCCGGAGCCTAGTGCTCGGAGACCGGAAGCTGTGGTTTCTGGAGCCCAAGTGTCGGAAGAACAAGAGGTTTTCTAATCGCGGGCTGAGGAGGGTCTTGGAAATGACGATTTCAGGGTTTGGAGCTGGGTGGGCTTGAGAGCTCTGCTAAGCCCGGCGTATGGGCTGGGCGTCGGGAGCCGTGTTTTTAGAGCTGGGAGAGTTTTGAGAATAGAGGATCTTGGAGTTTGCTGCTGGGTGGGGTATAGGGAATTCTCCTATTTGGTACTGGGATGGGTTAGTGAGATGGAGGTGCTGGTGTCTGGCCAGGGGGAGGATCTGATGGACTGGGTGCTCTGGTATTTGGCTAGTGAGCATTTAGGGAATGTGGGAGACTACCATGTGTTTGGACTGTGAGGGACCCACCTCTGTCCGAGGACGGCCTGGGGGACTCTGAGATCCAGGGCTGGAAGGCCAGCGTTGAGGCAGGGCCAACTTGGGCATTTGGTGCTGGGAAATCTGGGGACCTTCTGGTTGACTTCCAGAGGAGGTTTAGGGAACCCTGGTCACTGGAGGCAGGCAGGGGAGGGAAGGATGCCTCACTGGGCAGGGAACCGAGAGGTCTTGAGCTGGGTAGGTTCTGAGGACAGGTAATCCGGTGGCTACTGCTGAATGGTCTTGGATTAACAGTATGGAGTGTTTGAAGAACAGAGGTAGCTGGGGGTGGGGTGGGGCAGATAGCAAATTGGTGGAGTTTGAAGTCCATGAAGGCTCTGGGGCACAGATGATCCTTGTGTCCAGTACAGGAGTGTATATGTGGCTAGTAAATATGGGAGAGGGGAGAGTGTAGAATGGAAAGAGAAAGAAAACTTGTTGACTTGGCTAGGGGCCTCAGGATGGAGTGAGGGAAGTGTTTTTGAGGCTGAGTGTCTCCTTCACGAGAAGGCTCCTTGGTCCCCAGAAAAAGTTACTTGTGTGCCCAGGGATTGGGGGTCTTAGGGAACCGCTGCAAGAGCCAGAAGGTATGACTCAGAACGAGAAGTTATAGGGTAGATCTATGATTGTCTGAAGAGAGAAGGCCCTGGTGTGGAAGGGAGGAAATCTGGAGTTAGAAAAGTGTGGTTTTCTAGCCAGAGTGGGGATTGGAGAAGTTAAGGAGTAAGTAGAAAAGACTTTGGCATCCAGCGTTTGTGGTATTTCTCTGAAAAGAGGGTGCCATGGGGTTAAGAGAATGAGGAGAGCAAGGGGGCGAGAGAAGAGACAAGAAATTGAGTTGGCATTGGGTGCTTGCTGACTCGTTTATGAAAGGTGGGATGTCCTGGAGTATAGATTTGCCGTGGGGGCAGCCTAGGGATTGTCCAGGGCCCACATGCCCTTGTGGGGAAGAATACTTCCCCTTGCAGAGACCTGTGAACGGAGGAGGAGTGGCCCAGTGTGCATGTCTAGGGCAGGAGAGGCCCTGGCAGGAATGCCTAAGAGGAATGCCCGGTGGCCAGAGGTGCCTCAGAATAGGGCATGTTAGACTCAGACGGACTTTGTTTTAAAGATGGCTCTGTGACTTGGGCAAGTCAGTGTACCTCCAAGTGGTTTCCTTGTGTGCACAACAGGGATAATAATAGTGCCCCCCAGGATTGTTATGAATGAGGTCACATGTGTAGGGAGCTTAGCACTGGGCCTGCCTGTTATTAGGAGGTGGATGTTTTAGAGTGGAGAAGGACCCCAGAATCATGGCTTATCCGAGTGCAGCTTCCTCTGTGGGCACAGGAGAAATTCTTGAGAAGAGAGATGTGAATATTTGTGGGAAGAAGAGCACTGTGCTTGGAGCCTAGAAGAAACCGAATGGTTTGAAAAGCCCTCCCTGTGTTCCAATTAAGGAGATATTCTATTTCTTCCTTTTTCCCTTTACCCCTGCAACAAAATCCTCTGAGCCCCCTTCATGCCCTGCTGCAACCCTTCCTTCAAGCTCTGGTAAACAGGGCTGTAGCAAATCACGTGATCTGTTACTTTCCTCCCTTTGGGCTGCACCTGGTTTGTGCCTAGATGTATTTGTCCTCTGAGAAAGGATCCAGTCAGTTAGCAAGTGGCAGAAGAGTCTCTCCTTCCCTGTGGTTCTGCCGGTCCTGGCACAGCCACTAGTAGGGCCCTAGAGGCACCTAGCAGAGTTTGCCCCTGGGTTGGAAAGCCTGCTTGCTGCTCATCCTGGGTTTCCAAACTTCTCTCTGGCTCTGGCTGCAAGGGTCTTCTTGAGTTTGCTACTCTGGTTTTAGTCTCACCTCTGAGCTGTCACATGTTATTCCAGCCCCACAAATGTTTCCTCTGTTCTCATCACTGAGCTCTCACCTATGTATCCTTTGAGTCAAGGCTTCTCTGTTACTTTCTGGGTCCCTGTCTTAATTTCTTCATAGATGTGAACACAATTAGAATTTGCTTTTTGTGTTTAAGTATTTGTTTAATGTATGTTTCACCAACCTGAAGGCTTCAGTGGGGCAGGCTTACTCTTAGCTGTATCCCAGGGTCTGGTGTGTGGTATGCACTCCATGGATAGTTAATATTATTCTAATAAGAATGAGCTTCTATTCTTAGTCTTATTCCATAAGACACTTTCTCAGGACCCTTCCCACCTAGCTCCAAATATTTCAGGACTTATTCCCTAATGAGTCTAAAGGCCACTGTTAGGACTCCTGTTTTCTTAACAGTTCCTTTCCTTCTCCCTCCCCCCACCTCCCATTTCCCTTTCAACTGCGTTGGATACCCTTTATCTTTCCTTTCTTTCTTTTTCTTTTTTTTTTTAAGATTTTATTTATTTATTTGACAGAGCACAAGCAGGGGGAGCGGCAGGCAGAGGGAGAAGCAAAGCAGTCTCCCTGCTGAGCAAGGAGCCCAATGCCTGGGACTCAATCCCAGGACCCTGGGATCATGACCTGAGCTGAAGGCAGGCGCTTAACCAACTGAGCATGTGCTATCCCACCCATGGATACCTTTATCTTTGCAGCTATTGGGGGGGTGGAAGAGATTCGTAAAGAGGGTTGACTGTGCAGATGGGAGTGAACTGGGCCAGGCAGAGGACTGATTTGTGCCCTAAAGCCAACTCCCTATGCATTACACTATGTCAGAGGACAGCCAGACTGGTGGATTTTAAACTGCTACATGGAGTCCCAGGTGTCTGTAGAGTTGTCCCAGCCCTGGAGTCGGGACTTTGGGGTTAAGGTCAAGCTGGTATACCTTCTCTGATCCTCCTATTTCCTCACTTTAACCAGAGCAGTTGTACCTCTGTTGGTTTTATTTGTTGGGATTCTGTACAACCCAGTCACAGATGCATCACCAGCCATTTGAGGGACAAGAGGGCATGTCCTCAGGCAGCTGGGGCCACTGACTGCCCAGATAGGTTTCCATCTGAAGATGTTATCATACCTTTTAGCCTTTGGCAGACGGTTCCCAGTGGGGATGACATCGTGTAGCACCAAAAAGCCACCTCCGGTCCCAAGAAGCACCCTTCTAACTGGCCATTTTTTGTTTTAAGATGTCATGGACAATATTACCAGGCAAAACCAATTCTATGAAAGCCAGGTCATCAAGCAAGAGAACGAGTCTGGCTACGAGAGGAGACCGCTGGAAATGGAGCAGCAGCAGGCCTATCGCCCAGGTGGGAACATGCACGTTGTACATCTCTTTTGAGGGAAGGAATCTGTACGTGGCCCGTGCCCTCTGCCTAAAGCCTGTCTTCCTCTTGGGCACTGTCACTCTGGCAAGGTTCTTCGGAAGGAGAGAATTTAATCCCGCTCCCAGGTGTTGAGAGAGGGGAGTCTTCATGGTATCTGTTTTCAGATGTTAGTACCAATACCCTGGAGAGTTTAGACTCAGAGGCCAATACTTGAGTCTTATTTAAAATCTTAGAATGTAGAATCCAGCAAGGACCTTCTAAATCTAGTCCAGTTGTTCCCATGTTCTGAAGAATATTGTTCCAGGAGATATCATTAGGGACTTCCCAGGAAAGGGTTCCTTGGCCAAAATATATCTGGAAAATGCAGCATGTGCTATCCCACCCCTGGGAGAATCACTGTACTCAGAGCATTAAAGGCCCTGAGAAGTCCTGGACTGAAAAAAACCCTGTGTCATATTGTTTAAACCCAGGGTTTCCCAAATAGGTCTTTGTAGAGGAAAGTTCCCTGTAGTGTTAGTTTGGGAACACCAGATGTAACTCCGCTCTCACCTCCCATTTTACAGACTGGGGAGGTGGCTTGTCTGACGGCAGAGCTGGGGTTAGAACCTGGGAAACCGGTGCCTGGGCCACTGTTATTGGTTAATGAGCATTCCCAACCATTTGTGTCCTACAGTTTGGAAAGCAAGGTCCCACTGTTGAATAATGACAGAGCCAGGACTGCCTCCCAGTCTTGTGTTCCTTTCACTGTGTTGTGGCCCTGGTGCCTTTTCTTAGTGAATCTAGTTGATTGTATCTAATTCCATTCTTGGTTCATCCACAAAGTGAAATCCTCAGGATTTTAATTTTAATGTAGGTTAAACTGCAGATTTGTGTCAGGCTCTGTGAGACTTTTGGGATCATTTGGCCCAAGGAGAGTATTTTCTGTGTGTTACCAACAGTTATCAGGGCCTCCTGTGAGCGCAGCTCTGTGCTGGGACCACGGAGGCTCTCTTCAGATGGGTGAGTGCAGTCCCTGCCCTGGAGGCCCAGGAGCCTTCTCTGTATGTGCCAGAGCTAGGGAGTGATCCAAGGTGGTCTTGGGTTGAGTGCTAAAGTGAGGAGATGTGAGTGATCCACAGCATCAGGCATAGATACCGGTTCCAGTTTGCTCTTGATTAGGTCCTTAGATTCTTGGTTCTGATTCTTGAGGTCTGCCTGAGACTGGGCCTTTCCTGTGGTTTACAGCATGTTATCCCATCGTGACTTTTTATTTGTGGTGTGACTTAATAAGGCCATCACACCTATAGGCTGGCCTAAGTGCAGACCCCCCACCCCCCCTTCTGCAATGATTCTGGGCTTTGTGGTAGAGTGACTGAAGCCAGTGGAGTTAGCTGTGGGACCACAATGTCCTGTTGAATTGACACCCCCCCCGCCCCACCCCCTACCCCCCCAGCCGCCAGACTAAAGAAGCTTTGTAAGAACTGAGTTGGAGAGATTCTCTGGGAGGAGAAATTGGAGAATGTCGGATCATGGGATCTCAGTTTAAAGGGATCTTAGAAATTTTCTAGGGTTCTCTTCTACTTGGCCTGGGCCCAGGTAGCTGCCAGCTTTCATGGGGCCTTTGGCAAAGTAGCCAAAGGCAGCCATTCTACCTTTGGGTGGGCCTTTAAGAGAGCTTGCCTTTATTCAGTACTGAAGTCCCCTCTCCCTCCCTGTTGAGCCTGAGAGTTATCTGACTGACATCTGTCACCTCATCAACTGCCAGCGCTGATGGGCCTGGCTGGCCATCTCCAGCCCCCCTTTACCCTGGCCCTGTTCTCCAGTACGGCCTTCTTGGCTCCCTTGGCAGGCTTCCATTGAACCCAGCAAGCTGCCTGTGCCCAGCCCATCATCGCTGTAGTCAGGACCCTGCCAACATCTCCTGAGGTAAAGGGGACCAGAAAAGTGATAACTAGGGAGTTTCCAAGTGTCTTGACTGTCTGGATTTGTCCTGACAGTAGAAGTGAAGACAGAGATGAAGCAAGAAGCACCCGCCAGCTTCCTCCCACCCGAAGCATCTCAACTCAAGCCAGACAGACAGCAGTTCCAGAGTCGCAAGAGGCCTTATGAAGAAAACCGGGGACGGGGGTACTTCGAGCACCGAGAGGATAGGAGGTGGGTGTGTGAGGCGATAGTCCCCCTTTTCCCAGTAGGTTTCTGTGTCTGTAGCCTGGTGCCTGCTGGGACCTTTGGACTAACGAAGGGGGCAGGGCTCTCCCTGCCCTTACTCACTAGCTCAGCCCTCCCTGCACTCACTGCCAGATTCAGCTTTGCTAAACTTTGGCTCCTTCCCTCAGCTCCTCCCTTCTCACTACCTTCAAGATAAAGTCCAAAAACTTTGCTTTTCGCATGTGAGGTGCCAGCCTGCCTTTTCAGTCCTTTGCCTCACAGCCCTGTTGTCCTGCACAGTGTCCAGTTCTTCGTGGCTGCTTAATATCCCTTGATGGAAAGATTTATTTCCTGACTCTTCTCCCAAACACATGCTTCCGTCTGTCTCCTAGTTTGTTCATCGTCACACTCATGCTCCTTTCACAAGGTGCTTGCCCTTGGGCTGGACACTGGGGACACGGATGATTTGGACAGTGGGTTTTGCTCTCTTTTGGTCCCAGTGTAGGGCCTGAGATAGACACACAAGTACGCCACAACCTAGTGGGGCCAGTAGGCAGGATGCGTGTGAGTGTCAGGAGATTAGAGGAGGGCGTGGCCTCTCTACCCTGGTCATTTTCCTTTCCTGACAAGCCCTCTCCACCCCTCTGGTCAGCCCCAATCCTACCCTCCCCTCCTTCAGCTTCTGGGTGAAGAGTTTTCTGATCACAAACTAGGAATGACCGTTTCTTCTCTACTCATCTAGACTAGTTGTGTGACACATTTTATTTCCTACTCGGTGGACTCCATCCTCTCATGGCTTGTGACTCTGAGACAGGGCCTGGGTCTTTTGGCTGTGACTAAAGGTACGATGTGGAACTACCTCTTAGGAGTTTCTCTCAGTGCCTCCTGCAGAGCAGAGGTCTAGGCTGCCTGCCTATGGAGAGCAAAGGAGGAATACTTGCTCTGATTTGAGGTTGGCAGGGAAAGTTTTCTAGGATAGACTTCCTGTGTGATGCCCTCCTTCCTTGTACAGGGCTCTGTGCTGGCCCTGGACTGGCAGGGCTGGAGGGGTACTCACCAGAGGGAAGCCTCCCAGATGGGCCTCGGCTACTTGATCCGGGCACACGGGACCCTGCGCATTGGGCCCCATTCTTCTACATTTCTCCTTTATTCCTATAAGTGGAAACCAGCAGTATTTTAACATTAGTCCCATTTTGGTGTTTTGGTAGGAGATGAGTCTCATTCATAATATAGGACACTTGACAGAAAGAGACTGAAAAAATGGGTCATTTCAAACACTTGCGGATATAGAGTCTTAGGAAGATGTGGACAGATTGTGATGACTGGGGTTGATCTGAGTCCTTGTATAGTCCCCTTTCTGGCCCAATCCCTGCTGGACTACTGTATCTTCCCATCGGTAACAGAGGCCAGTATAGAGGCAGCTCTCAACACGCACAGGGCGTGGCTCAGAATCTTGGGGTGTAAGAGGAGAGTCATCTTTGAACGAGGTAGCTAAATGATTCTGCTGGCCCTCTTGAGCAGAGGGCGCCCTCTCTAGTCCCTGTCCCCACTTTAGGAGTTAACAGTCATTGCTCTCATGGCAAGGGTGTAGGGTGGCCGAGTGCTTTTGCTAACCTCTGTGGGAAGAAACTGAAATCCAGGAAGCAATCTGGAGGCCACTTATAAATTCCAAGAGAACCTTCATTTCCCTTCCTCTGTGCTCATCTAACTTGTTCTCATGGGACTTAACCCCTTTTCCTGACAGGGGCCGCTCTCCTCAACCTCCCGCTGAAGAGGATGAAGATGACTTTGATGACACTCTTGTTGCCATCGACACATGTGAGTCCTTGGGGTGGCTATCTGATTCTACTTTGCAGTCAGTTCTGGGAAACTGGGATGTGAGAAACCAGGCTCTGGAGCGACGGTACTGGTTTGGAGGCCAAAGATCTCCCAGCTGTACCTGGGATCCTGGGCAGGTCATTTTTCTTCTCTCACCTTCTCTTCAGGGAGGTATAATCCTGCCCTGATACCTCAGAGAACTTTCAGTAACACTCCTCAGAATGTGTACGAGGGCAATTTGGAAAACCCTGAACACCCAGGGGGTTGTCAGCTAACCAAGAAGGGAACCTGAGTGCGGCTGGGGAAACTTAACTCTTTGACGACCAGTCCCCCAGTTTCCATCTACTGCTCACGTTCCTGGTGAAACTAATGCCACCTTGTCCTCGGAGGCATTAGCCCGGTCCACCCTGCTCTCCGTCCTCCAGTTTCTTTCCACTGGATAAGTGGCTTCCCCTTGACTATGCATCTGAACCCTAGGGGTAGTGGTGATAGTCCTGCCTCTCGTCAGACAGGATCTCAGCGGTAGAACCTGGGAACCTGACTTTAAATGAAGCCAGATCGTGTCTGAGAACACTGTACTTTTTGTACTTTGGAAGAAAGACACCTCGTACACAGTCCCTTCTGTCACAGGATCTCAAAGCCCATATACCCAGAGTGAAGCTAAACTTTTTTTAAGTATAGGGTGGCAGTGGTCAGTGAAGTGGTGGCCAATCAAATGCCAAATGTACAGACCACAACTCTCAGCCTCTACAGAAAAGATGGTGTGGTCAGGAAAGACTTTCTTGGAGGCCTGACGGGCTCCTTGAAGAGTGGGAAGAGTTGGAGCTCCAGCAGGAGAGTCCAAGGCCCACAGAAGAGGTGGGAGCCTGCGGTGCACCTGGACAGTGGTGCCTGGTGGCGAGTGTGGGTCTGGGTCAGATGTTTGTGCACCTGTTGGCAGCAGGAGTCTGGCTCCCAAACCAATAGACTTAGCACAGGGAAATGGTTAGGGTTTATGGTTCTGGGATTAGCCTTTAAATGCTAAGTCCCTTGAACATGATGAGATACGGATCCTTTCCCTATAACACGTACCTTTCCCGTAAAGTGCATTTGTGTACAATTTCTGGGGGTTCCTCCGACCACCATCCTTGGACCCCAGCCAGGTGGAGAGCCCAGTTACTTTGTGTGATGGCTGCTTTGGTCCTATGCCGGTGAGTTTGCAGTAGTCTGGAGCCTTGCTGCTGAGCTGGAGAATGGCTAGCGGGTGTGCTGGTTTCTCAGGAACCTGCCCTCACGATGTGTCTGCTTATGTACTCCTGGTTAACACTCCTGGAGGACTTAACTTTGTCTGTCCCTCTCTTGGATCTTTAAAATATCAGCTAACTCCCAGCTTTTTCCTCCACAGATAACTGCGATCTCCACTTCAAGGTGGCCCGAGACCGGAGTAGTGGCTACCCTCTCACGATTGAGGGCTTTGCCTACCTGTGGTCAGGAGCCCGTGCCAGCTATGGAGTCAGAAGGGGCCGTGTGTGCTTCGAGATGAAGGTGAGTGGGAGCAACTGAGGGTTTAAGAACAGAAAGCAGGTCCATCCTTTGGCATGAGCCGTTCATCAGCTACTTGGGTCAGAGCCACGACTGTAAAAAAGATTGACCATAGACTGTGTGTGTCCAAGCAAAAAAAGCATGGTGGACTCTAGAGAACCATGTCATTGCTAAACGCCCTATTGGGAAAGCAAGCGAACCATACAGTGCCTCATCAGGGTGATTTTTGCTTGGTGGGATTTTTTTTTTTTTTTTTTTTTCTTCAGTGAGATTTGACCCAGGTATTATACAGCCAACCTCACTAGGGATAACATGTTTGTAGAACTGGGAAAAGGATTTGTTTGGAAGAAAAATGAGCTAGAAAGAATGGAAGTGGACCCTGCCAGTTAAAGAGAGGCCAGAAGGAGAGCTGGGCAAAGAGCCACCAGGCCGTCCTCTACCATTGTCTCCCCATGGTTCGTGTCAGGTTATGTTTAGGAAAATGACACATTCTCGTGTTCAGCGAAAATTCAGATAGCACAGAAGAGTGTAGGGTAAAAAAAGCAGAAGTTAGACTCAGATCCTCCTGGTCCCCATTCTACTCTCCAGAAATAACACGTGTTAACAATTTCTTGCATGTCCCTTGTAAATTCAAACTTATTTATGACCGCTAGTATTTACAGAACTGTTTGCACACACCAGATAATGGTGCCGGGCTCTTTACATGGACATCTTCGTTAATCTCCCCACTGTACCATCATGATAGAGGCACTACGCTCCCCGTTTTTTAGAGGGGCAAGCTGACTGAGGTTTATCATTTCTGATTGACTAAGTCTGTTGGTTTTGAGTTGCGAATTGTTTTGTGTGCCACTCAGAGAGAAACCCTGTCAGTTAAACTTCCAGAGTGCTTTCTTACTACATCAGTTGTAAGATCTACCCTGATTTGGACACATTGAAATGTGGAAATGTGCATCCAAAAGTCAACAGAATAGGTTAATTTTATAGAAACCACCAACTAATACAGATAGGTAGGGTTGTTAGGCAGTCTAACCTGTAAGGTAAGTCAGAAGGCATGGTTCATTCTTTCTGCTTTTTGTACTTAGTACCATGTCTTGGATGGCAGGTTCCGTCCCTGTACCTCAGCCATGCTGCGCTCTCTGGCTGCTTCATCTATTCTGTGGCGTGGATGTGCCGTAACGTGGCAGTGCCTTATTTTTTAATTTTATTTTTGGCAGTGCCCTACTGATGGTTTGGTGGGGGGGAGTTGTTGTGTGTTTTTTTTTTTTAAGATTTTTATTTATTTATTTAACAGAGGTAGAGAACACAAGTAGGCAGAGTGGCAGACAGAGGGAGAGGGAGAAGCAGGCTCTCCGCCGAGCAGGGAGCCCGACGCGGGGCTCGATCCCAGGACCCTGGGATCATGACCTGAGCCGAAGGCAGCTGCTTAACCGACTGAGCCACTCAGGCGCCCAGGGAGTTGTTTTTAATATAAACAGTGTCACACTGAATACCCTTGTGCGTGTGTCATGTGGTCACGCGTACAGCTATGGGTGCCTCTGTAAACTGGAAGTTGAATTGATGGATTATAGAGCATATGCATTTGCAGGTTTGATAGAGGTTGCTAAATTGCCTGCCAAAGACATGGTGCCAATTTATCCTTCTACGCTAAGTATGAAAGTCCCCATTTCCCCTGCAGCATGTTAAAATTGAAAAATAACTATATTTATGGGGCACCTGGGTGGCTCAGTCGGTTAAGTATCTGCCTTCGGCTCAGGTCATGATCCCGAGGTCCTGGGATCGAGCCCCATGTTGGGCTCCCTGCTCAGTAGGGAGCCTGCTTCTCCCTGTCCCTCTGCCTGCTGCTCCCCCTGCTTGTGCTCTCTTTTTCTCTGTCAAAAAAATAAACAAAATATTTTTTTAAAAAACAACTATATTTTGAAGTGCCTGTCTCTGTGGCCCTGTACTTCCTGAGCCCCTCAGAGTCCCTGGGTTCAGTGCCACAGGCCCTTCTGAGCGGCTTCAACACCTTTTCCCCAGCAACAAGAGCCACTGCTGATTTTTAGTGCCTGCATGCTGCCCTCTTGTATTGCCTTGTAACCTGCAATCCTCCGAGCATCAGTTCTGAGCCCTCTTATTCTTCGTCCCCAGATCAATGAGGAAATCTCCGTGAAGCACCTTCCTTCCACGGAGCCCGACCCGCATGTCGTCCGTATTGGCTGGTCCCTGGACTCCTGCAGCACGCAGCTGGGTAAGGGGAGGGCAGGCTGGCGGTCCAGATACTAGAGTAGCTGCCTCTGTCCCTGGATTCTCAAGCTTCCTAAACTTCTCTTCCCAGCATGGGACTCGGAACACAGCTAGCCCAGGGTGGGACACCTCCTGCCCGTCTTCAGGTATACAGGATTCAACTGGAAGGACCACAGTCATCGTAACTTTTCTATGAGAAATTGATTATCTTTTAGGAGAGGGTCCACAGTTCTCTTTAGAAGGCTGACCCCTTTCTTTAAAAAGATCAGTTGTCTTCTGTCCTCAAACCATGCTGAAAATAAGTTCCTCAAGTCCCATTCCATTCTGTCTGGGGTTTTCTGTCCAGAGCCAAACCCAGAGTAGAAGGGGAAGCAGGGAGCAGGGGGCTGGTAGGCAGAGAGAGGCAGGGGCTGCCCATTGAGAGGGTTTGAATGTTCAAGGGGCCTCAAGTGACTGATTTCGATGACCCATGCGGAGACCTTTTGCTTTGGTCTTGTAAACATCTGATTATGAAAATGTGTACTCGTGTACAGTTCAGGCCATACGGAGAGGGGGAAATGAAAATCCTCCCAAACCTGCGAGATAACCAGTGTTAACATTTTTATCTACAGTCTTCTGGGCAGTTCTTTTGTTCTTTGTATATCTCAAACGAGGTCACACTATGGTACTGTCTTGTAGCCTGGTTTTTTTTTCCTTCTTAATAGATGCTGGGCATATTTTTGTAAATAAGTAGAGCTGTTTGACCACTGCACAATTTCTCATTTTGTAATAGTGTCACTTACAAATAAGGGTTTTGTGGATCATGTAAGTTGATTGCAATTTTTTGCAGTTAAACTCTTAAGCTATCCTTGTGTGTAATGATCTGACTGTTCACTTAAGACTGACCCTTAAAAGTAGAAATGTTAAGTCGGGAGTGTACAGTTCCATTTAGATAGATATTCACATTTTTTATTTCAGATGCCTGTGTCCTCTCGATTTCTCTCTGTCTGAGTTTTTGGGTGTAAATGGTGGGTAGTTGATACAGGTAAAGGTTCAAAGCCCAGAGCGGTCAGATGTCCGGGGCCAGCAGCTGGTATGTAGAAGCATTGGGCCTGGAATTCATGCCTGTCAGCGCCTGCTTTTCTGGCAGGATGCTCCTTGGGTTCCTGGCCAAGGATCTCCATACACCCCGGGTGTCAGGCAGGGCCCTCAGGATCTCACTCCTTCTCCCATTGCTTCAGCCCCCAGTTCTGTAGCCTGAGCAAATCCAGTGCCTTCCTTAGCGTGTAAACCTCACAGTCTCCAGAAGCAGAACCCAGGCCCTTGCCTGATTTCTGCCCAGAACCCACTGGCACCAAAAGTGGGTGTCATTAGTAGACTCGACTGTATGTTGAGTGTCATGAGGAAGGTTGTGCCTCTGCATGCAGCCCGCCTTCTTCCTAGCTCCTCTCTCCCCTCCTCCCTCTCATTCCAGACTCTCCCTCTGTTTGTGCAGTGGTTCAGGTCGGCTCCCATCCCCAGACTTCACACCTAAACCCACCAAGCCCCCCAGAATTCTTCATAATGAGGGGCTTCCTTTCAGCAGGACCTTCCTTACCTCCTCCCCCCGCCCCCAAAGCATCTGATTAGTAAAACGAGTAAAGAAACTAATTTTTTTTTCTTTAAAAATATGTGGCAGCCATAAAGGCTGCTGGGACCATGGTGGGCTTAACCGGCCTTTGCCTGTTTCTTCCATCAGGCGAAGAGCCTTTCTCCTACGGCTACGGAGGCACTGGGAAGAAGTCCACCAACAGCCGGTTTGAGAACTATGGAGACAAGTTTGCAGAGAATGACGTGATTGGCTGCTTTGCGGTGAGTGCCAGCAGCCTGTGGGAGTTGGCAGAACCAAACGTTGGTCCTGTCAGCTGGACCTGCAGGCTTCTTTCTCAGAATACCTCTGTCCATCGTCCTCCCTGTCCAGCAGCTCTTGCCATAGCTATTTGCCTCTCTTTCCCAGAAGGGAATGTTGGCTCTTGTTTTGGGCAGGATTCTGCCATTCTACCCTCTTTGGTCTTTCGTGCGAAGCTGTCAGACAGCACTTTGGAGAGGTTTGGGGATGTCAGGTGTGTGCAGCCTTCTTCCAGTCCTAGATACCAGAGGGACATTTTCTAAATACACCCGGAATTTCTTTTCTCTTCGCTGTGGAATAGCCTGTCTGCTCACGAAGGCAGTGCTGTTGGCCTTTGCCCCACTGTGGCATCCCCTCATCCCAAAACCTCTCCCATCCTTCACGTTGTGCGGCTTGAGCCAGGCTTCCTACAGTGCACTGTCTTCTAGAAGGGTGGGGGTGGATGCAAAACAGAACAAGATAGAGGGTGGCAGTCCTGCAGTCCAACTTGAGTCCCTGAGAACAGTGACTGACACTTGACAGTGCTGTACACGGGACCATGGCTGCAGCTCTGGGGCCAGACTCCCTGGACCCAGCTCCTGCTTGTCCACTCACAGCCCTGGGCAGCCCCGCTCCCTGTATTTCAGCATGCTCTCAATGAGAGTCGTGGAGTTGGGTGTAGGGCCATTAAGCCAGTCCATTAGAACACTTCTACCAATGCCTGAAGCATAGTAAGTGCTCAGTAAATACTACCTAATGCCGTTATCAGTAGGAGCTTTAGATGTAAAGTATGTCACGAGACCTCAGGCAGGGTGGCTACCCGGGTGCTTCCTCTTGGTCTTGTTCTCCTCCCTCTTATTTGTACCCGTGTACTCTTTTTTTTTCCCCTTCACTCTCACTGGAAGATGATTTCAAACTCAAAAGCCCTAAGAAATCTCAGTCTTGCCCAGATTCTAACATTTGCCAATGTGCTTTCACCATTTCTCAAACACAGTATCTGTGTCTGATTCCTGTCTGGTCCACTGGAGAGTAGGGTGCCTACATCATGTCTTTAGTTTTTAGTCTTCAGTCTGCATTTCCTAAGAATAAAGCTGCTGTCTTAACCACAGGACAGTTATCGAATTTAACATTGATATAATGCTATTATCTCCTCCACAGTCCACCCTTAAATTTTGTCAGTTGTCCCAGCAGTTTCCTTTAGAGCAATTTTGTTCCTGGTCCAGGATCCAGTCCAGGATCACGGATTGCGTTCTCTTGTCAGGGCTCTTTAGTGTGAAACAGATTCCCAGTGTTCATTTGTCTTTCATGACCTCATTATCTTTTTAATAAAAAACATGTTTTCTTAACCAAAAATTCACCACGTTTATGCTCTACACCTTGCATTTTTCCCCCTACTTAACAATCTTGGCTATCTTTCCTTCACACAGATAATATAGATCTAGCTCAGTTAAAAACATTTTTGAATAGTTAATGAATTTATGTGGTTTCCAAAGATACCAAGAGAGATATGTCAGAAGATAACACAGTGTAAAGTCTCCTGCAGACCTTCCCTGGCCACACATTGTTCACATACGCCCTCCCCACACGGGAGCCCACAGTCCTCGGGATTTCTTTATCCAAATACAAGAAAGATAATTGTCATTTTTATTCTCTTACACAAAAGGTAGCACAGCATTTCACATTGGTTTTTACTTAATTATTTATCTTAGAGATATTTTTTCTGTTGCTACCTAAAAGATTTTGTTCTTTCACATGGTCTGCAGTCGTTGTGTGTACCTACCACATTCATATCAGTTCTCTGTTAGTGGACATTTGGTGAGTTTCTCCCCTTTTTATTTGGTGGCTGCCTCGTATTTTGATGCAGGCATCAGTTTACTCTGTGTTAATTTAGCCGGTCTCCTGTTGGTGGCCTGGGAAGCCGTCTGCTGGGGGAGTCAATGCTGCAGTGACGCCTTGTCCTTTTCCCACGTACCACAGTCTCTTGGGGATCTTTTTGTGTTTCCACACTTGGATCTGCTCTGTCCTGTAGCGTCTCCTACTTCCCCATTGGAGCACAGTTGGCAGTGCTGGGCTAAGTGATTGGCACATCCGTCTTTGCATTTTTATGGGAATCCACCTGTAGTGTTTATTCCTGAAAGTGTAATTTCTGGGTCAGAGGTGTATTTTTAAATTTCGATCGCTGTCACCAAGACCGCACTCCAGAGAGGCTGTGGCAGTTTAACATGTCCTCAGTGTGTGGCAGCATCCCCCAGACTCTGTCCCATCCAAGCGTGAGGCTCTGTGAGCGTGCGCCAGTGTGGAACTATAGGCCTTGACTCCTGCTGCAACTAGATCGTTCAGCCGGGGCACCTCTGCTTTTCTTTTTAAGATGCCATGCGCAGTTTCCTTTTTTCAAAGGGTGCCATAACTTTTTAAAAGGCTTGGGGTGACGGGTTAGAGGGGGTGTGGAAACCAGTGACCTGAGGGAAGCCAGGGGGAGCCCGTTTGTGTTAGATCTCGAGTTCTCAACAGTCACAAAACAGAGGACACAGTGGCTGCCAGGAAGCGAGAACAGTAGAACCCATTTCAGCAGACCATAAAGAGTGTTGTACTTGGAGCCTTAGGGACGACTGAGGAGGTGTGAGCGATGAGGCCGTAAAACCGGCAGGCTCTGAGTAACACCGGGCATGATGACTGAGGTTTGAGGCCCTGGACCGGCACCAGGGTGTTTTAGCAGGAGTGATAGGGCCACACTTGCCTCTTGGACAGATGGCCCCATGGGTGGTGGATTTGTCAGTTGAGGGTGCTGGTTTTTGTACGATGTGGGAAGTTCCCTGAGTGAAGCTGGTGGTCATGAGGAAGACTGACCCCTGGGATGCTCATCTCCATGTGGAGCAAAGGTGACCTGGGCCACTCTTGCTCAGGTGGAAAGATACGGGTGGGGATCCTGCTGCAGGGAATGGGCAGGATTCACTCTGGCAGATGTTTGTGTGTCTGCCCTGCGTGATCTTGACCTCTGTGGGCACCTAGAGATGAACAGATAAGGACCGTATAGAGCTGTGTCCTGTGAGCACTGAGGACAGTGGTGAGGAAGCCATTTAGGAAAAGGGGCTCTCGCTCCTTCTTAAAGGATAAGTTCCAAGGTGGTCTCCCCATTCAAGAGGGAAAGAATACCAGGTCTTGTACTTTTATATCAGGAACCTGACCTCGTGCTTTGCTTCAGCTGCCATCTGATCCCAAGTTTTGAGTCTCCCTTAAATGTAAACCTTTACCCTGCACCCAGAGTGATCTTCCTGAAACGGCTTTGACCAGGCCACTGCCACGCTTGAAACAAGTCGGGGGCTCTGCTCTGCCGTCAGCGTGGAGTCCAAACTCCTGAGGTGACAGAGAGCCTCTCACAACGCTGAGGTCAGGGACCATGTCTCCCCACAGTGCCTGGCATCTAGGACTCATCGGTCCCACTAACCCACTTAGTACTCTTTGCAACATAGAATCTTGTCATGGCCCCCCTTGTTTGATAAGGAAACTGTAGATGAAACCCCAAGGTCACACAGTTAGTAAATAGCAGAGCTGAAGCAGTCTGCCTTCCCAGTCTTAACTACTAAGCTCCAGCTACTCCGCAAGAACTCGATGGTTGTTGAATGAACAAATACGCCTGACTCGCCCGCTGCACCTGAAGTTACTTCTCCCTCATCTTTTTTGCTTCAGCCAGGCTGACCCTTTGTTCTCTCACCATCGGATTTATACACAACACTTCTCTGTAGGACTGTCTCCTCCCACCGCAGACTTGGCTCATTTCCATGTATTATTCAGGACTTGGCTTACAGGTCCCCTCCTCAGAGAATCTGCTCCTGGGTAGGTGCTCTTACAAATTAGGAATAGTGTCCTTGTCTGATTCCCCACCAGGCCCCGAGCCCTGTCAGGCCCGGATCACTGATAGGCCTATGCACCAGGAAGAGCAGGAGCTGCGGATCATGTGTTGAACAAACAAATGAAAGCATTTGTAGAGCTGGACTTGACTCAGAAGGCCCTGCTGTGGCTTTCTTTCCATCTCTTCTCTTCGCAGACTGCCCTGGCTAGGCTTGAGGACACACAGAATCGCCTTTTCCTTCACATTTGTCCCAGGCTAGGCACAAGACTTGGAGCTTCCTAAAATGACACGTGTCACATCCCCCAGCTTTGGGGTTTGGGGGCAAGGAGGGCTTTGGCCGCACCTTCTCAGCTGTTCCCTGGTGCCGCCTCATGTATCTGCTGGGGGAGGGAGGCTGTCTTTCCACTCCCTGCATCTGCTTCCTCCCAGCTTTGGCTCCCGATGCCTGACGCTGAGTGTTGGCAGTTATCTTCCTTTGGCTTTTTATCCTAGGACTTTGAATGTGGAAATGATGTGGAACTTTCCTTCACCAAGAATGGGAAGTGGATGGGCATTGCCTTCCGAATCCAGAAGGAAGCCTTGGGGGGTCAGGCCCTCTACCCTCATGTCCTGGTGAAGAATTGTGCAGTGGAGTTCAACTTCGGGCAGCGGGCGGAGCCCTACTGTTCCGTCCTCCCAGGCTTCACCTTTATCCAGCACCTTCCCTTGAGTGAGCGGATCCGGGGCACCGTCGGACCAAAGAGCAAAGCAGAGTGTGAGGTGAGTGGGCCTCGAAGACCGAATTGGAGTCCACCTCTCCAGAGCCATGGCGCTGCCAAGGCAGAGGGGAGACACTGCAGCTGGGTGGTGAGAGCTGCACCGCCTCTTCCTGCGGGCTTCCCAGGGCCGCCGGGAGAGAGAGGGGAGGGCAGTGGGTGTGGCTTGGGCTGAAGAGGGAGGGGCCAAGGTGAGAGACCTAAATCTTGGAAAGGTTCCCGAAGGAAGTTGTCCTGTGGCTTCTTCCACACTGCTGCTTCACGGGGGCCAAGGTTGTCTAAGGACAAAAATGACAACAGATATTGGGGGTTACTTGGCTGCAGAAGCTGTACTAGTGAGCTTTGCTCTCAAAATAATATTTTTTCAGATACACAGGTGATTTTATGTTTATTTCCAAAAAACTAAACATGAAGATTAATTTCCCATAATTCCACTGTCTGCAAATAAGTTCACTGATGAAGTTTTCAAGTTTATGCTATCTTTTTTGCTGTGATAGGTGCCTGTTTTGTACACACGCACTTATAATTGAGATCATAAAGTATAAGCATTTTGATATCTGTCCTTTTCACTCAACAGTATTTTGTGAGCTTTATCCCACTACATGAAACCCTCTTTTTAAACTCACTTTTAATGGCCTTACAAACGGATTGCCCCCCTCTTGGTGGGCCTTTAGGTTGTATCTAGTGTTCACCAAATTCTAAATGTACTAAATAAATACCATGCTTGTCCTCATGCGTATAGTCTGTCCCCTTCTTGGACTCCAGGAAGGTTGTACCACTTCTCGTGGCCACTGTGTGCACCGTTCCCAGTGCATGACCCTCTCTGGGCTTTTCCCTTTCAGAAGCCGCTTGATCCTGAACAGAAATGTAATATTCATGATAACAGCACTTGATTTCGTGCTCACCCCATTCGAGGCCCTCTGTTAAGAGTCTGACACCCTTCGCGTCTTTGAATCCCAACAGCAACACTGTGAGGTAGATGCTGTTATTGCTTCTGTTTTCCAGAGGCAGCCATGAAGTTGAGTTACCCTTGAAGTCACCAGTGAGTGAGGGCAGTGCCAGACCGCCATGCCACCCACTGCTACTGCTTCAGTGTCCCTCTTTGTCCCATTTTTGTAGATTCTGATGATGGTGGGCCTGCCCGCTGCCGGTAAGACCACGTGGGCCATCAAACACGCAGCCTCCAACCCCTCCAAGAAGTACAATATTCTGGGTACCAATGCCATCATGGATAAAATGCGGGTAAGGATGGTCCCTGGTCCCTCCATATCCACCCCCTTCGTCCACCAGAGTGCTGCCTGCAGCCAGGACCACCCACCCCTTCTCCCTCTGCCCACAGGTGATGGGCCTACGCCGGCAGCGGAACTATGCTGGCCGCTGGGACGTCCTGATCCAGCAGGCCACCCAGTGCCTCAACCGCCTCATCCAGATCGCTGCCCGCAAGAAACGCAACTATATCCTAGATCAGGTACTTACTGGAGACCCTCATGCCCCAGGAAACGGAAGGGGCTTTTTAGATGCCTGGTCCTTTTATTGTTTCCCTGTAATACTCAGACTGCAGTGCTGATCAGGGAGTAAGCCCTACATGATGACACAGTCCCAGACTCAGCCTCAGTCTCTGAGGCCAGTCTGTGGGTGGGCTCTGGGGCCATGATCCAGACATAACTCAGGCTCTCAGCAGCCCAGAAGAACATCATCACGTGAGAGCTGTTTAGGGAAATGGAAGGGACATGGACTTCTGAGCTGGACAAACCTGGGCTTGAATCCGAGCTCTGCCACTTCCTAGCTGCGTGCCTGTGGGCAGCTGACTTCATCCCCCAAATCTCAGTCTCCTGGTCTGTAAAAGAGAGCTCATAATGATGCCCACAAAACACGGTCTGGCCCATAGTAGCTGGAGATTGTTGTTAATTACTCTACAAAATAGGTACGTCCCAGCTTCTGTTAGCATGTTTTTATGACTGTCGGGTACGTATCTAAGTCACGTATTGTCTACCAGTTAAGAGGAAGGCTGTTAGCATCAGGTCATCTGAGAACCTTTGAAATTAAACCAGAATTTTGTATACAGGCACAGATGTGTCCTTTGAAAACAAACAAACAACTGGATAGTTTTGAGTTAGGATAGGAAAATCATCCATGGCTTTCAGCATTCTCAAAGGATGAGTGACCCAAACATGGTTAAGGGAAGGATTCCTGTCTCAGAGTAACGAGTTCCTCATGTTTACTGCCTATGAGACATCATTCTCGACATTGTCCCGAAGGCTTTCTCAAGTAGCAGATAATGTATTTGGGGACCTGTGAACAAGCCTCTGCTCCCCTTAGCCTTGCACTTGTGCTTTCTTAAAAATCTGTGAGTGCAAATGTGTAACCTGAGCAGTGCCCCTGCCCTGGTAGCCTTACTGGGGTGCCTTCCATACGTGTAGCCCCGGGTACTTGGTTCCCATGAGTTCAGAGTTCCTGATAAGGGTGGAGCTGGTGGTGGTGGCAGCCTTGTCAGAAAGGTGGTTGGAAACTCCAGGGAACCAGGTTGGCTCTGCATTGGAGTGAGCATCTTAAAACAATTGAGCGGGAGCTCCCAGGCTGGTGGATGGTGGAGATTTGGGAAGAGTGGTCCCCCCGCTCTCTGCACCCCTTCCCTGTATCTTGCCCCAAGCATCTCTTCCGTGTGGCTCTTCCCAAGTTACATCCTATTCATAATAAACCGGTAAGCTGCTGTCTATAGTGGAAGAAATGAGGCCTCATAGCCAACATTTGAAAAGAGCACATAATAGGAAACTAGTTTTTTTTTTAAATAATTTTTTTAAAGATTTTTTTTTAAATTTCTTATAGAAGGGTGGGCACACGAATTGGGGGAGGGGCGGGGGAAGAGAGAGAAGCCGATTCCCCTCTGAGCTCCAAGCACATTGCGACGTGGGGATTAATCTCACAACCCTGAGATCATGACCTGAGCCGATAACAAGTTGAACGCTTAACGAACTGAGCCACCCAGGTGCCCCAAGAAGAAATTAGTCCTTAAAGACAAAAAGAAAAAAAGCTATTAGCTGATGGTAGTTCTTTATGATAGACAAATTAAAGGATCTTTACAAGTAGTTAAGTGTTGAGAGTGGAAATCTGTGGTTTGCTGGTGAAACAGCATGCTACAAAAACTAAAAGTTGGCCAAGGCTGTGCCACGCTTTTGGCATCCTTATGTGATGCTAGAGATGTGAGATTCGCTCTGGGTGTTGCTTTTCTGGAAAGTGGACCTGAAAAGGTGTACTTTCATCCACTGAGCAATGCTGCAATCATAGGATTGAGCCTTGAAGACCCACATTTGTAAAGAACATAGGACATGGTCCCATAATACTAAACTTTGATAAAAATAACTTATTGGGCTAATGGAAAAAAATAAAAAAACACCACACAGTTGAGCACAGGGTAGTCTAAGAGCCACCCAGGGTTACTGCCCCAGCTCAGCCCCATTCATGATACATAAGCCAGCCTTCTCTCCTTTTAAAAGGCTTTGTTCTTTATCTTTCTTTCTTTCTTTTTTTTTTTTTTTTTTAAGATTTTTAAGATTTTATTCTTGGGGCGCCTGGGTGGCTCAGTCGATTAAGCGTCTGGCTTCAGCTCAGGTCATGATCCCAGGGTTCTGGGATCGAACCCCACATCGGGCTCCCTGCTCAGCTGGGACCTGCCTGCTTCTCCCTCTCCCTCTGCCCCTCCCACTCATGCTCTCTCTCTCTCCAATAAATAAAATCTTTAAAAAAATTAAAAATAAAGATTCTATTATTAACTTCTATACCCAACGTGGGGCTCATACTTATAACCCCATGATCAAGAGTCGTGTGCTCTAACAACTGAGCCAGCCAGGCATCCCAAAGACTTTGTTTTTTTTTTTTTAAAGATTTTTTTATTTATTTATTTGAGAGAGAATGAGAGACAGAGAGCATGAGAGGGAAGAGGGTCAGAGGGAGAAGCAGATTCCCTGCCAAGCAGGGACCCCGATGCGGGACTCGATCCCGGGACTCCAGGATCATGACCTGAGCCGAAGGCAGTCGCCCAACCAACTGAGCCACCCAGGCGCCC